CCCGCCACCGCTACCGCGCCCGCGCCCGCCACCGCCGTCACACCCGCACCCGCAACCGCCGCCGCGCCCGCGCCCGCGCCGGCGCCGACGCCGGGACCGGACGCGGACGCGGCGCTCGTCGCGGCTTCGAATGCGACGACCATAGCGGGCGCGCGCGCGGCAGCGGTGGACGGCGGCGGCGTGATACCGCCGCCGGAGCCCGCTCCGGGACCGGACGCGGACGCGTCGGCGCACGACGACGACGACGCCACCGCGGACGCGTACGACGACGAGGGAGAGGGGACGAACGCGACGGCGGCGGCGGCGGCCGACGCCGACGACTCGGCCGACGTCGGGTGGACGCCGAAGAAACCGGAAGGGTACGAAGACGGCACGTTCGGGTACCACTACGCCGCGGCGAGGAACGCGTGGGAGGGCACCGCGACGCCGGTGACGCGGCCGATTCAAAACGCGCACGCGTCCGCGAAGAACGCGCTCGCGCGACGCATGGGATGGGATCCCGACGACCCCGAGGTACAGCTGTACTTGACGCTGCTCATGCTCCTGCCGATGCTGCCCATCGCGCTCACGTGCGCGTGCTGCTTCAAGGTGATCAGCCGTAACTTGACCCTGCACGGCGCGGTCAGGCAGGCGTGCGTGTACTGCGCGTGCTTCAACGCGTGTCTGCTCGCGTCGCAAGTCGTCACCGGCGCGGAACCGTTGGGATCGTACCGAGAGTCCTCCGGGGATAAGGCGTACGTTCGGTATCAGATCGTGGTCTTGATCGTGTACGTCTTACACGCGAAGCTCACGGTCGCGAACGCGTTCGCGTACGCGCTGTGGTGGCCGTGCGTGGCGCAGTGCGTCGCGATCGCGTGCGTCGGGTTCCACTACTACTTTAGCGCGTGGCACCCCGCGATGGTCGGGGAGTCCCCGAGGGTCGTCGCGGGGTTGCCGACGGGGGCGGCGACGTACGGGACGTACGCAGTGGCCTACGCCGCGATGGCCGCGGTGCCGATGCGGACGGCCGCGAGGAAGCCGGACTTTAAAGTGGAGATGCGGCGCGGCGAGGGCGCGAAGTTGATGGGCGCGGACGCGAAAGAGCAGGACTGATGAAGCGCCGACGCTCTCGTCGTCGACCAGACCGTCTGGTTTTTTATTTATTTTCTACGAATATGAGTAACGTGTTCTTAAGCGTCTTCTAAGACACTTCTTTCTTTACGAGGAGTCGTGATCGCGCGCGTCGCTGCTAGCTAAGGTTAACCCTCCTACATGTTCGTCACCGCGTGCACGTACGTCACCGCGAGATGCGCGTCCTCGAACAGGGCGCCGTCTAACCCGTACGATCGCGTCAGCGCCTCGGGCGTCGGCGCGAGCGTTCCCCCCCCCAGGCCGCGTCTCTCCTCCGCCGCCGCGACAGCCTCCGCCAGATATCCCGCGAACTCCTCCAACACGACCGCGGCCTGCGCGGCGTCCGTCACCGGGACGTACTCGATCTCGATCACCGCGCCGGCGTAGCTCCCTTGCATGTTCTCCACGCGCCCAACGCGAACGTCGAAGTCCCCCGCGCTGAACCCGACGCCTTCGATTTTCGATCGGTGCGTCACGCGATGATTCCGGCATCGCGAGAGGTACTCCTTCACCGGCACCGCGCCCTCGACGCATCGCTTCTCCGCGCGCAGGACGAGCACGGTGCGCTCCTTCCCCGACTCGCCGTGGTGAAGGACGCACGAGTGCACCTCGTCCGCGACGTCTTTCGCGCCGAGGGCGAGGAACATTCCGGGGGCGTCCGCCTCGGTCGATCGCTTCCGCGTCGTCACCTCCGCGGCCCATCGCGTCGTCTTGTCGTCCGTCACGTTCGCGTGCGCTTGCACCGCGGCGGCGAGCGCGAGGAAGTCGTGCATCGTCCGCGCCGCCGCGGGCTGCCGCCAGTGCATCACGCGTCGGGCGCCCATTGCACTGATGATATGTCCATCGCGAGTCAACTCCTGTCCTGCATCTGCACTGTCGTCCACCTCCATGGACGCGTTGTGAACGTTTTTCACCCACCGCTCGGTTTCAAAATTTGATCGTGTCCCCTTTCAGCGGACCGGTGAACTGTTTTTTGTATGGATTCTGACTTCTAAGAACGCGGGAGAGAGGCCAGGTATAGAGGCCGCGCGACGCGCGAGACGCGACGCGCCGCGGAGGCACACCCGTGCGCGCGCGAACGCGTCGACGCACGCCGCACGCTCTCGAGAGCGCGTTCACTCGCTCGAGCGCGCGACTCTCGCACGACGCACCGCGGGGTTCGCACCGCGCGCGCGCGCGACCCTCCGTCGTCGTCTCCACAGAATCTGACGCGTATCGTCCGCCGGGGTTGCCCTCTCGCGCGCCAACCGCGAACCGCCCGGCGCGCGTCCGATCGAGCGCGGCGCCGCGACGCGAGGCGCGCTCCCGGGGAGGCGCAGGAGGAGCGACGCGCGGTAGATGAGCGTCATGACCGCGACGAGCTGCCGCCTCGCGGGCGCGATCGATCGCGTCGTCGCGCCGCGTCGCGCCCCGACCGCGGTCGCGCGCGCGTCTTCGAGCGTTCCGCCACGTCGTCTCGTCGTCGTCGCCGCGGCGTTCGCGTCGTCGCGCCCGCGCGCGATCTGCGTCTCGCCGCGGGGCGCGCGCGCCGCGAGAGGTCTCGGGCGAGCGCACGCGTTCCCGAGACGTCGCGCGATCCGCGCGAGGGCGGCGAACGCGGGCGACGACGGAAGCGGGGCGGACGCCGAGGCGTCGTCGTCGTCGTCGTCGTCGTCGTCGTCGTCGACGACGTCGACGCGAGGTGGCGTCGACGAAAACGAAAAAGATGCCGCCGGCGACGTCGTCCAAGGCGTGGAGGTGCCGTCCCCCGGATCATCGTCCGGGAGCGGCAACGCGACCAAACCGGACGACGACGACGACGCGGCGAACGACGCGGACTCCGCGGCGGAGGCGGCGCCCGCGCCCGCGCCGAGGGCCGATCGCGCCAAGCTCGACTCTGAGACGCGGCGCCCGCTATCTTTTTTTCAGTGGTTCGTGAGGATGTTCCAACCCCTCCGGTTGATCTCGTTCGCGGTGAACACGTTTCTGTTCCTCTTCGCCGCGCAGCTGTTCACGCAGGACAACCCGACGGGGGCGACGCACGTCGTCCCGGTATCGTACAGCCGCTTCCTCAGCGCGGTGAAGGGGGACGACGTCCAGACGTTGTCGGTGGACGGCTCCTATCTCACGTGGAAGCCGAAGACGGCGCTGGTCATCAAGAGGAAGGCGGTCGGGAGCCCGCTGTCGATGGCGGAGCCGGAGAAGATCGAGGTGGCGTACAGCGCCGCGCGCCCGGACGACGCCACGGTGCCGTACGACCTGTTGCACAAGAACAAGGTTGAGTTTGGCGCGGTGGATAAGCGGCAGAAATCGCAGCGAAACGTGAACACGTTCATCACGCTCTTCATCGTCGGCGTCGCGATGGTGCAGCTGAACCGGATCGGCCAGCGCGGGGACGGGAGCGAGAACAGAGCCGGTCCGGGCGGGCGAGGCGGCGGGGGCCCCTTCGGCGGCGGCGGCGGCTTCGGCCGAGGCGGCTTGGGCGGTCCGAACACGTCCGCGGGAAGAATGAGCGGCGGGAAACAACGCGGGTCGCTCCCACCGCCGTCGACGACGTTCGCGGACGTCGCGGGCGTGGACGAGGCCAAAGAAGAGCTCGCGGAGATCGTGGACATTCTGAAGCGCCCGGAGCACTACACGCGCTTGGGCGCGAGGCCGCCGTCGGGGGTGTTACTCGTCGGCGCGCCCGGGACGGGGAAGACGCTCCTCGCGAGAGCCGTCGCGGGAGAAGCCGGGGTGCCGTTCATCTCCGTCTCCGCGTCCGAGTTTGTCGAGCTCTACGTCGGCATGGGCGCGGCGAGGGTCCGGGACGTGTTCCAACGCGCGCGGGAACAAGCGCCGTCGATCGTGTTCATCGACGAGATCGACGCCGTCGCGAAGGGGCGGAGCGACGGGAAGATGCGAGGGATGGGCAACGACGAGCGCGAGCAGACGCTGAATCAGCTCCTCACCGAGCTCGACGGGTTCGACAGCGGCGAGCTCGTCATCTGCCTCGCCGCGACGAACCGAGCGGACACGCTGGACACGGCGCTGAAGCGGCCCGGGCGGTTCGATCGCACGGTGTCCGTGGAGCGCCCGGATAAGCAAGGACGCAAGGAGATTCTCGGCGTGCACATATCGAACCGGCGCTTGCCGTTAGACCCGGCGTTTCGCGTGGACGACATCGCGCAGATGACCGCGGGGTTCACCGGCGCGGAGCTCGCGAACTTGGTGAACGAGGCTGCGCTCCTCGCCGGGCGAAAGGGCGCGACGATCGTCGGTAAGCTCGAGTTTGAGAACGCGGTGTTGCGAACCGTCGCCGGCATCGAAAAGAAACGCTCGCTCCTGTCGCCGTCGGAGAAGGTCACCGTGAGCGCGCACGAGGCTGGGCACGCCGTCGTCGGCACCGCGGTCGGGTTTTTCATCCCGGGCACGCAACGCCCGGAAGCGCTGTCCATCGTCGCGCGCAGCGGCGGCGCGCTGGGGTACACGTACATACCCCCCGGAGAAGAGGACCGCAAGCTCATGTTTTCGGACGAGCTCCGCGGTCGGCTGGTCACCCTCATGGGCGGCCGCGCCGCGGAGATCGTCGCCTGCGGCAGAGTGTCCACGGGCGCGATGGACGACATCCAGCGCGCGACGGACCTGGCGTACAAAGCCGTCGCGGAGTACGGCCTCTCGCCGACCGTCGGGCCGATGTCCGTCCCCGTGTTGAGCGCCGGCGGCGGCGAAGACGCCTTTTTCGGCGGCGGCGACACCGCGCAGGGCGCCAACAAGCAGGTGGAGACGGAGGTCAAGGCGACGCTGATATCGTCGCTGTACGTCGCGAAGTTGATCGTGGAGGAGAACATCGCGGTGTTGAAGGACATGGCGAGCGCGCTGAGCGAGAGGGAGAAGATCGGTGGGGAGGATCTCGACGAGTGGCTCAACGACGTCGAGGCGCCGGCGACGTTGGAGCGATTTTTGCGCGGGGAGAACCCGCAGCCGCCGGAGGGGTCGGAGCTGTGGAGCATGCTGCCGCTGCCGGCGTTCCCGTCGGGCGGGAAGGGGGGGAAAGGGGCGAAAGGCGGCGGCGCGGGCGCGCGGTGAGCGCGAGGAAACGAAACGAGGGATTCATTCGTGTATGAGTAGGGCAGAGCGGGGATAGTCGTGTTGTGATGCCAAGATGAACAGAAGTACGGAAGTGAGAAGCACAAGACGCGTCGCTTCGGCGCGCGTGCCGTGCTGCTGAACGCGTTTCGGCTTTTTTTTATCGGGTAATCGGGATAAGAGCGACTCGACGCGTCGCACCGCGCGCCGGGCGACGCGCGCACTCCCTCGCGCGCGTCCGCCGCACGCGCGTCCATATCCGCGTCGCGCCCGTCGCGATGTCCGCCGCGAGCGCCGCCTTCGCCGCCGCGCCCGCGGTCGTCGCGCGCGCGCGTCGCGGAAACGCGTCTAGCGCGATGAGCGCCGCGTGGCGTTCCAAGAAAAAGCGCGATCGTCGCGTCAGCCGAGACGCCGCCCGCCGTCCGTCGTTCTCGTCCTCCGCGTTCGCGTCGAGAGACGACTCGAGTTCGCTCGCGACGTCGAACGCGCGTCGTCGCCGCGCGCTCCCGCCGGCGCGGAGCGTTAACGGCGACGAGGACGCGAACGACCGCGCCCCGGAGGAGGCGTCGCGCGACGCCGCGTCCGCGCCCGGGCCGAACGCGCCGGCGGGGAAAAAGAAATCCGCGCCGTCGTCCCCGCTCCCGCAGCTGTCCCAAGCGCTCGGGACCGCGTCCGAGGTGGGGGTCGAGACGGTCCTGAAAGTCGCCGCGAGTCGAGGGAAGGTGTGGAACGGTCGCATCAAGCTCGCGTACGCGGCCGTCAGCGCGCTCATCGCGCTCAACGCCGTCGCGCTCTTCTTCCCCAACGGGTTCGGCGCCCCCGCGGCGGCGCCGGAGTTGTTACGCGTCGCGGAGGTGATGGTCCTCGCCGCGAGCGCGCTCCTCGGCGCGTTGAACTTCGGGCCGCAGGCGGGGAAACAGGTCCAGGGCGGCGCGCTCGGTCTGAAGAACTTTGGCGTCCAGCGCGCCACCGCGAGAGAGTTCTTGGGGCTCGTGTGCCTGAAGATCATCTTCGACATGTTCGGTCTGATATCCCTCGCGATACCGCTGACGTGGCTGCCGGGCTGGCTCGTCGGCGCGAGGTGCGCGGGGATGTGCGTCACGATGCTCGGGCACTCCGTGTTCGTGGAGCAGTGCGGGACGCTGCGGTGCACGTTCACCGCGGACGGGAGCACGATGAACATTCCGCCGAAAGTCATCGAGCTCGTCGCCATGGGCGACCGGACGTTGGCGTTGCTCGTGTTTTCCGTAGCCGCGGGGGTGTACAGCAACGCGCCGTACGTCGCGCTGCCGTCCGCGGCGATCTTCCTCGCGGGCGCGGTGTACTTCACGTTCGAGAACAAGAAGGCGAGGCCGAAGCCGAAGCTGAACCTGTAAACGAACGTTTCGTAAGTCGGCGTCGGTGACCTCGCGCGAAAGAAACTCCGCGTCGAACCAGACTACTCTTCGTGTGCTACCGCGCTATCGTACTGTGTTAAACCCTACTACGCCGAGAAGTCAACCGTCGGGAACATCGTCTTCCTGAGCGTCTTCTTGTTCACCTTCCCCATCGCGTTCCTCGGTATCTTCTCCGCGAAGACGAACGTCCGCGGGACTTTATGCGACGCCAGATCCTTCGCGCAAAACGCTCTCAAGTCGCGTTCGCGCTCGCCGACGTCCACCACCCGCGCGACGTCGACGTTCTCGCCCCCGCCCCCGCCCCCGCCGTCGCCGCCGTCGCCGTCGCCGTCTCTCAACACGACGATCGCGGCGGCGATCTCGCCGTACGCGTCGTCCGGCAGCCCCACGACCGCGACCTCGCGCACCTCCGGGTGCTCCAAAAGTTTCGCCTCGATCTCGAGCGCGGACACCTTGTGCCCGCCCGTGTTGAACACGTCCACGGACGTTCTGCCTAAGATCACGTACGCGCCCTCTCTCGTCACCGCCGCGGTGTCCCCGGTCCTGAAGTACCCCTCGTCGTCGAAAGAGTCCCGAGTCTTCTCCGGGTCGTTCCAGTACCCGTCGAACACGCCGGGGCCGCGAACGAGCAGCTCCCCGGGGCCTCGCGCGTACTCGCCGCCGCCGTATACGCCGCGACGTTCTTCCTCGTCCTCGCCCGCTCGCTCCTCTTCGACGATCTTCACCTCCACGCCCGGCAGCGGCGTCCCGACCGCCCCCGGCGTCCGCGTCCCCCGCAGCGGGTTCGACAGCGCCATCCCGATCTCCGTCATCCCGTACCGTTCGAGGAGGACGTCCCCGCCCGTCGTCTCTCTCCACGCCGTCTGCGTCGGCACGGGGCACGCCGCCGAGCCGCTCACGGTCAACCTGAGCGCCTTCACCGCCTCGGTCGCGGTTTCGCGCGCGCCGGGCGTCCGATCGAGCGCGGTCAGCGTCCGCAAGAGCATGACGTACATCGTCGGCACGCCCATGAACACCGTGATCCGAGGCTCGGACGCGTCGCGCGTCCGCGACCAAAACCGTCGCGGGGAAAATCCTGCTCCGTCCTCGCCGCCGCCGCGTGGGTGAAGCGATCGGTCAGTCGAACGTCTTACCGGTCAAACGTTGAAAGGGAAGCGCGGGTGAAGAGTGACGACGGGAAAAGTCCTTAAGGATCGGCGTGCACCACGCGAACGGGGTCGTATGGGAAGCAGTCTCACCCCCGCCGCCTTTTTGGGCTCGAGCGCGTCCATCGTCGCCTTCGCGTCGTCGTCGCTCGGGTCCGACGCCAACGCCGCCGAACTCGACGCGCGCGCCGACGTAGTGCGCGCACATCCACGCGTTCACGATCCCGTGGATGTGATGCAGCGGCAGCGCGTGGTAGATCAGATCGTCGTCGCGCCACTCCCACGCGGCGGCGAGGGAATCGCACTGCGCCGCGAGGGACGCGTGCGTGTGCGTCGCGCCCTTCGTCGGGGTTGTTCCATCGTTCAAAGCGACGTCGGGGTTGAGTTGAAAGGCGTCAGATGGAGTTGAAAGGCGTCGAAGTATGTCGGGATTGAAAGCGTGGTGTGGGTGGAGAGAGACGAACGCCGGGAGAGAAAGTCCTCAAGGATCGGCGTTCACCACGCCGACGCGGTCGTATGGGAACCGGCGTGAGATAGGACGCGCCTTCGGTTTCCCGGTGGTGCCGCTCGTGTAGATGATCAACGCGGGGTCCGACGGCGCGTTGTCGATCCAGACGGAGGATCCGGCGTCGCGGTCGTCGCGGCGGGCGTGACGCGCGTCGTCGCGATCGCGATCGTCGAACGGCGGCACGACGACCGCGGCGGCGACGCCGGCGTTCGCGTACAGCCGCGCGCTCGCGTCGTCGACGTCATCGGACGACGCGGCGCCGCCCGGCGCGTGCGCGACGACGCGCACGCCCGCGTCTCTCAGGACGTGCGTCGTCTCTTCCGCGGCGTGCGACGTCGCGAGCGGGACCGCGATCGCGCCGTTCATCCACGTCGCGTGCATCGCGGAGACGTACCCCGGTCCCGGGCGCGCGACGATCCCGACGCGCGCGCCGCGGAGGATGGTCGCGTCGTCGTCGTCGTCGTCCGCGCCGTCTCCTCCTCCTCCTCCTCCTCCTCGCGCGGCGCGGCGCATCGCGCGCGCGAGCTTCGACGCGTGCGCGAGCAGCGCGCCGTACGTCACGTCCGGGGAGGTGGGCGACGCCACCGCGACCGCGTCCGCGCGCGCGAGGGCGATCGCGCGCAGGGACGCGCCGATGGAGGACGACGACGACGACGACGTCCAGGGGCGATCCGCGCGCGAGGCGCGCGCGGCGCGACGGTCGTCGTCGTCGTCGCGACGCGAGGACGAGGACGACGACGACGCGGCGGCGCGCGAGCCGCGCGAGAACGCGGCGCGCGCGCGCGCGCCGCCGCAGCGCCTCAGCGCCGCGAGCGCCGCGAGCGACGGCATCGCGCGCGCGCGACGAGTACGAGTAGGCACGCGACCCGCCGTCTCCCGTGTCGCGGCCATTCGGGCTGGGCACACCGAGTGCCGCGAAGTACAGTACGCACTCGGCGTCGCACGAGCAAACAGTCAGAGTATGAGTAGTTTCACAAAGATCTTCTCTCCGCGGCACCGAGTGGCTCTCCGCTTCCAGACGCGGCGTGCGGAAAGAGGCTGCGCGATCGCACGTCGGTCGGACGCTCCTCACTTCCCGTAGAGCAGACGCACGTCTCGTGTCGAGCGTCGTTTAAGATGTCTCTCCCCCTCAGCTTCTACAAGGCGACCATGGGCGGCTTCGCGGCCGGCGCGGCGACCGCGCCGTCCGTCGCGCCCGCGCCCACGACGTTCACCTCGAGCGTCGTCTCCGGGTTCCAGGCGAACGCGAAGAAGGAATTCAGCGCCGTCGCGTTCGCGACCGACCTCGCGGTGCGTCTCGCGTCCTCCGCGCTCGATGCCGCGCGATTTTGAACCGGGGAGCGTCTCCGCGGCGGCGGACGCGCGCGCGCCTACGCGCGCGCGCGCGCGGACGCCGAGACGGGCGCTTCTCCGGAGAAGCGCGTGCGATCGGCATTTTATTTTATGTTCTCTCCGCCGCGCGTGAACCCATCCAGGGGGCACGTGATCGCCCGCGCCGCGATCGCCGTCGCCGACGCGTCTCTCCCCTTCCCACGCTCCCCCTCGCAGATCGGTGGCGTCTCCGGCTCCATCGCGAAGACCGCGACCGCGCCCATCGAGCGCGTCAAGCTCCTCATCCAGACCCAGGACGCGAACCCCAAGGTGCGCGACGCTTCGAGGCCCCGATCGATCGCGCCGTCTTTTTTCGAACCGCGAGAACGAACAATACGGAGGCGACGCGCGGATATTTTGTCCTCCGTCCGTCCTTCGTCGGGGTCCGCGTAGAACGCTCTCTCCCCGACCGTTTCCGTTTTTTTCACCGCCTCGTACTCCCGCTCGCTCACGTGAACGCGCTTCGGTCGCTGACGCGCATCTTCTCCCCCCCCGCACCCACAGATCATGTCCGGCGAGGTGGCGCGTTACACCGGCATCGTCAACTGCTTCACGCGCGTCTCCGCGGAGCAGGGCTTCGGGTCGTTCTGGCGCGGGAACATGGCGAACATCGTCCGCTACTTCCCCACCCAGGCGTTCAACTTCGCGTTCAAGGACACGATCAAGGATTTGTTCCCGACGTACAACCCGAAGACGGACTTCTGGCCGTTCTTCGGCGTGAACATGGCGTCCGGCGGCATGGCCGGCGCGGGGTCTCTTCTCATCGTGTACCCGCTCGATTTCGCGCGTACGCGCCTCGCCGCGGACGTCGGCTCCGGCAAAGGCCGCGAGTTCACCGGGCTCGTCGACTGCCTCACGAAGGTGGCCGCGAAGTCCGGCCCGATGTCGCTGTACCAAGGCTTCGGCGTGTCCGTGCAGGGTATCATCGTGTACCGCGGGTCGTACTTTGGTCTGTACGACACGGGTAAGGGCGCGCTCCTCACCAAGGACTCGTCCATCGTCGCGAAATTCGTCGTCGCGCAGGTCGCGACGAACGCCGCGGGCGTCCTCTCGTACCCTTTCGACACCGTCCGTCGTCGTCTCATGATGACGTCCGGCGGCAAGAAGCTCTACAACGGCACCATCGACGCGTTCGTGAAGATTTACTCCAACGAGGGCGCCGGCGCGTTTTTCAAGGGCGCCTTCTCCAACGTTCTCCGCGGCGTCGGCGGCGCGCTCGTGCTCATCATGTACGATGAGATTAAGGCGATGATTAACCCGTGAGCATGACGCTGATGACGGCGCGTGGCGAACGAGGTGGAGGAGGAACGAAACGGCGGCGGAACGTGCGTTTTGTTTTTTTTTGTGGTCAGAAGAAGCGGCGCGGCGGCGATACCGCGAGCGACGACGACGACGTTGGATTGAATGAATTTTATTTGGGAGAAGGTTTACCTTCTCCCATCTGGGCGGCGCGTCGCGCGAGAGAACGACGGAGATAGCCTCGAGCTCGCGCGACGCGTCGCAAACTTAGCTCGACTTGATACGAGAACGGCGAGTGAACGAAACGGCGACTCGACTCGCGCGACGAAAGCCTCTCTCCTCTCTCGACGCCCCTCCCCCTCCGTCCGGACACTGTCAGCGCGAGGTCGTCGAACAGAACAGCGCACTCTGCGACCGCGCCTTTTGATTTCGCCCTTTCGCGCACTAGCTAGACGCCCGCGCGCAACCACGGCGCGACGCGCGAACCCGGGCACCACCCTCTACCGCGACGCATGGCGGAGCGCGACGAGTCCTACCGCGGCCGCGGAAGCGCCCCGGAGTCCCCCGTCGGCGCGCGCGAGTCCCCGCGCGCGAGGGACGCGAACGTCGGATCGGACAACGAGGGCGAATTCGACGACGACGAAGACAGGACGTTCGACTCCGCGGACTTCGACGAGCGCGACGGCGGGTTTCGAGACTCGGACACGGACACGGACTCCGAGGCGGCCGGCGGCGGCGCCGGCGTCCTCGGGTGCGTGTCCTACCTCTGGATGCTCGTCGCGATGGGGATATTCGCGTACCTCATCGTGACGGTGCAGTCGCAGGCGGACGTGATCAAGACCATGCAGCGGAAAGTGGCGACGATGGAGCAGCGTTTGGGGCTGTCGCCGATGATGACCGCGTCGGAGCTGTGACGCGCGCGCCGCACGCGTTCGCGAGGCGCGACGCGGCGCGGCGCGCGGCCGCTTAGTCGGTTCCTTAGTAGGAACGTTAGCTCGTAGCGTTGGTCGACGGACGAACAGATTCGAATCCCGAATTCTTTGCAAGTTCTTCGCTAATCTACTACCGTTCGTTCACGCGTGCCTCGGGCGCTTCGGCGCGGGCGATTTCAGCTTCAAATCCATCAACGCCTCGCTCGCGACGCCGTCGTAATTCCTCTTCAACCACCGCTCCACCTCGTCGCGCTCGCATCGCGCGTTCGAGACCAGTTTCAAATACGTCGTGTGCGTCGCGTTTTCATTCTCCGCGTCGACGTCGAGAATCCACTCCTCGTGCCACGCCCCGGGAGGGTAATCGAACCGCGCGGCGGATATCTGCCCGCACTCGTAGTTCTTCGCCGCGTTGGCCCCGGGGAGCTTCGCGCGGAAGCGGACGAACACGCCCACAGAGTTCGCGCTGCCGGACCGCGACGCGAACATCGCCTCGAGCGCGTCGCGCGACTGCTCGCGCCGGCGGATGAGTTTGAGGAGTTCCGTCGTCGACGGCGACGGCGGCGACGTCGGCGACGCGCCGGGTCCCGGTCCCGGTCCGGGTCCGGCGGTCTCCGCTTTCGCTTTCGCTTTCTCCGCCTCCGCCTTGGCGGCCTCGGCCTCGGCGGCCTCAGCCTCGGCTTTCGCCTTGGCCTGGGCCTCGGCCTCGGCTTCCGCCTTGGCTTTCGCTTTCGCCGCCGCGGCCGCGGCTTTCGCTTCAGCCGCGGCTTTCGCTTCAGCCGCGGCTTTCGCTTCAGCCGCGGCTTTCGCCTCGGCTTCGGCTTTCGCCTTCGCCTCGGCTTTCGCCTCGGCTGCGGCTTTCGCCTCGGCGGCGGCTTTCGCCTTCGCCTCGGCCTCGGCTTTCGCCTTCGCCGCGGCTTTTGCCTCGGCTTTCGCTTTCGCCTCGGCTGCGGCTTTCGCCTCGGCTTCGGCTTTCGCCTTCGCCGCGGCTTTCTCCGCTTTCGCCTTCGCCGCGGCCTCAGCCTTCGCCGCTTTCGCCTTCGCCGCGGCCTCAGCCTTGAGCGCTTTCGCTTTCGCCGCGGCTTCCTTCTTTTGCTCGGACTTGATCCTCTGCGTCTCTTCGATCTGCCTCGCACACTCCTCCTCTCGCCTCGCCTCCTCCTCCTCCTCCTCCTCCTCCTTCTTCCGCTTCTCCGCTTCCGTCGCGGCGGCTGAGAGTTTCGCCGCGCCGACGACGTCGCCTTCGTGCTGGCGTTTCGTCACGTCGCCTTCGTCCTTGAACGCGAACTCGTCGTCGGACGAGTCCGAGTCCACGACGCCGCGTCCTTGGGTCCCGGTTCGCGACTTTGGAGTCGGCTCGCGCGCGGCGGCGGCGGCGGCGACCGCGTCGGGCGCGGCGAGCGCCCTTTCCCGCGTCTTCTTCGCCTTCTCGAGGGATTTCTTTGTCTTCTCGAGCGCGCGCTTCGTCCCCGGGGGCGGCGCCGACGCCGGCAACGGAGGCGCGGAAGCCTTCGCCGGGGCCACGGGCACGCCCGGCAGCGACCCCGCGGACGCGACGTTGCTCAGCGACGAGCTCTTCCTCGCGCGTCTCGCGCTCGTGGCCTGCGCAGTTCTCGCCGTCTTTCCGCCACCGCGGACGCCGCCGCCGCCGCCGTCCGGCGCGATCTCCCCGCTCTCGGGCTCGGAGTCGACGTCCCCCGCGACCGACTTCTCGCCGCGGGCGCCGTATCCGTACGGGTCGCCGCCGCCGCGCGCGGCGTCGACGCCACGGTCGCCGCCCTCGCCGCGGTCGCCCCCCCCCGCGGACGCGCCGCCGCCCGCGCGATCCCGATCCGTCGCGCGATCCGGCCGCGTCTCCCGCGTCGCCGCGGACGGACCGCTCCCCGCGCCCGCGGGCGCGGCGACCGCGAGGGGGCCGTGGGCGTCGCCCTTCACGGCGGTAACGCCTCCCGGGGCGGCGTTTGTATCGCCGTAGTGCCGCTTGTTCCAGTCCACCCACATCGCCACCTCCGCGTTCACGAGCCGCGCGCCTCGAAGCGCCGTTCGCGCGTCCCCGCCTTGCACGATGACCTGCTGCCGCTCGTTGTCCGTCACCATCCTCGCCCCGGACTCGCGGATGAGCTTCTTGATGTTCATGCCTTTCGGGCCGATGACGCGGCCCATCTGCCCGCGGACGAACACCGCGCACGTGAGCTCGTCTTTCCATTCCCCGAGCGCCCACGGCTCGCAGCGGTCGTAATACTCTGGGTCGTCGATCTCCGCGGCGTCGGGGACCTCCCGCGCGGCGACGGTCGACGCGCTCGGGGGGGGTTTCCGCGCGTGCGGGTGCGGCGCGACGTCCCTCATCTCGCGCTCGCGCTCGCGCTCACGCGGCGGCGGCGGCTCCGCGACGACGTCGTCCGGCGGCAGCTGAAACGCGAAGTCAAACCGCAGACTCGGAATCGTAAACGGCACCGGCGTCATGTACGACGGTCGCTCGTCCATCCACGGCGCCGCCCAGAGCTCGTACCCCATAAAACTGAGAGGCCCGCGATCGGGCCCGCTCGTGCGAACTTCGCTTATGATATCCCGCGCGGACGCCTCGTCCGTGACTTCGACGAACGCCGCGACGCGTCCGTGGGCGTCCGGCGCGTGGTGAAGCACCTGCAGCCGCCGCAGACGAATCGGGATGTTCTTCTCTCGCATGCGCGTGAAGAGATGCTCGACGTCGCGCGCGCGAACGTCGTCGGGGTAGCCCCAGATGATGACCTGCCGCCCGGGATGATTCGAAGCCGGGAACGAGCCGTCGTGGTAGTCGTACCCGCCGCGTCTCGAGCTCGCGCGCGCCGGCGGCGGCTGCCACGCCGCGCGCTCTCGGTCTCGGTCTCGGTCTCGGTCTCGGTCTCGGTCTCGGTCTCGCTCTCGGTCTCGCGCCGCCGAGACGCGCTCGCGGCTCGACGCGCGTTCGCGCTCGTACGCGTCCCTCTCGCGTCTTCCGAGTCCGAGTCCGAGTCCGTCCGGCGAGTGCGTCGGCGCGCGAATCGCGGCGTACGTCGCGGTCTCCTCGTCCGGCCTCCGTCGCTCGCGCCACCGCCCGCCCTCTCGCCATCGCGCGTCGTCGTCGTCGTCGTCGTCCGAGTCGTCGTCCACCGCGGTCCAATCGCGGGTCCCCGCGTACGCCTCCGCGATTCCCGCTCGGTCGTCCTCGCGCGCGTCCGCGAGCGCGAGCTCGGTCTCCCGCAGCGCTTGCTGCCGCGCGCGCCACTGCTTGTCGTCGAGCTCCGCGACCTTGGGGGTGTTCATGATGTTCGCCACGACGCCTGCGAGCGGAGAGATCGGACGGGGAATGTTCGATTCGTAGGGAGTCAGCATTCGCGGCGGCGACGGCGAAACGCGCGCTTTAGAAGATTCGCCCGAACCAGCGACGGGGCGCGCGCACCGGACAGGGTTCCTCGCCCTAACCGCGCGCCCGCCTCCGCGCCGCGGTTCTCGAAGTCCACGGGGATGTCGAGCTCGACCGCTCGCGACCCGCCGTGCGGGTCGTAGCCGTAACCCACCGTGTCGCGGCCGCTTCTGGCAACCCGATCCCAGCATCCGAAGGTTTTCAGACGGGTCCTCGTCACGATGACGCCGGTTGGCGACCGACGACTTTTTTGAGTGCACTGGCAGCAGCAGGGAGGCCGCGGGTTAACGCTCCCCTCCACTCGCGCGCAGCACGCGGCGAGCTCGCGGCGAGCACGCGAAGGGTTCGAACAGCGCGCATCAGGATCCGACGCCGCCCGTCGCGATGACGACGACGCCGCCGCGCCGCGTCGCGAAGCGCGCGCTCGCGCGCCTTGTCGTCATGGCGCTCGTCGCGCTCGTCGCGCTCGTCGCTCGGCCAACGGACGCGCAGTCGTTCTTCGCCGAGGACGACGCGGTCGCGGAGACGACGACGGAGACGGCGGCGGCGGCGACGACGGCGTATCCCGACGCGGACGCGTTTCTCATGGACGACGACGACGACGACGACGACGACGACGCGGCGACGGTCGACGACGCGCCGCCGTCCGAGCGCGCGAGCGCGCGGCCGAATCGCGTCGAAAGAGACGCGGACGCGGCGCGCCCCCCCGCGCCCCTTCCCGAGGAGGAGGAGGAGGGGGAGGACGACGACGTCGCCGACGAAGACGCAGTCGAGGTCGACGACGACGCGGCGAGCGTCGCGGCGACGGAGACGTCGGAATCGAAGCCGCCGGCGGACGCGCCGGCGACGGCGCCGGAGCCGACGGCAGCGCGTCCGACGCCCGCGCCCGCCGCGCCCGCGGAGGACACGCGCGCGGCGAAACTTCGCGCGCGATTGAAACAGCTGGAGGAGATGCGAGAGCGCGCGCGCGCCGCCGCCGCCGCGCGTCCGCCCGCGCCCGCGCCCGCGGACGAGGTCGAGGTCAGCGAAGAAGACCTCCCGGGCATGGGCGACGGCGAAGAAGCGCCGACGATCCGCGCGCCGCGGACGCTCCTCTCCGCGCGCGCGCCCGCGGATGCGCCGAACGAAACCGACGCCGCGGAAAACGCCGCCGCCGCCTCGAACCGACGCGCGCTGCTAATGTCCTCGGACGACGACGACGGCGTCGGCGGCGACGAGTTCGACGCCGCGCGACGGAGCTTACTCGCGACGAGCGTGAGCGGCGACAACACGCAGTGGGTCGGGTTCGAGGATACGCCGCAGCGATTGGCGGAGTCGCGCTCGGGACCGGAGGTCACCATCGCGAGGCACCACGGCAACGCGCACGTCGTGCGACCGGGCGGGTACTGGCAGGCTGCGCGGTTCAACCGCGTCGAGCGACCGCGTCGGTCGAAGCTCCCGACGGACTTTGGCAAAGGGTCCGGGGAGGGCACGCTGAGCGGGCCCAGAGGAGGGATCAACCAGCACGACCGCGTGGGCATCAATAAAGCGAGCGGGTGGCCCGGGCGACTGCACGCGAACGAGCGGAACACGGACCCGTACCCTGGGCTCGCGACGACGGACAGCGTGCACAACGCGCTGCAGCCGTTCGTCGTCGGGGTGACGTCGTACACCCCGAACCGCCGGTTCCAGAATTACCAGTACCGACCGATGGCGCGGGTGTCGTCTTTGGACTGCGCCGGAAGCGCGACGGAGTTGAACGGCCGATGCGAAGACGCCAAGGTGAAAACGGTCGGAAAGCACGCGTTTAAGACGGGCGAGAAGTTCACGTTCCAGCTCGTCTTGGGCGGCGACCGGACGATGCTAAACATGAAGACGTACATCGTGGGAGACACGGTGACGTACGACTCGTTCACGTTAGACGCGACCACGCCGATCGACACGAAGACGGGGACGCCGGACGTCGACGTCGCGAGCGCGTTCATCGTCAAGATGAAAACCCCGACGGCGGCGAATCCGATGCCGACCGTCGGCGAGCACGAGTGGGCGTACGAGAACGGGGATAAGATACGTTTCTTCGTGACGTTCTCCGAGCCGGTCACCGTGACCGGGTCCCCGACGTTGAAGCTCAACACCGGTTCGCACTACGAAGCCGGGAGCGCGGACGCGAAGGCGACGTTTATCGGCGGCGGCTACGGCGAGAGCAAATCGTTTTGGAAAAACAACGAGCGGAGCCCGCTGAAGAGCCCGAACGAGCCGAACAACTGGTACGAGGACTTATACAACATTCACGACGGCGGGTGCACGATGGGCGGGTTCCAGCGAGACCTCGCGGCCGCGAGCGACTGCGTGCGGCTCTCGCCCGGCGGCGTCTGCGACTGCGCGGCGTACAGCGGCATCACGAAAGCGACAGACGCGGTCGTCAAAGTCCGCCGCGTGCACTCGTTCTCGCCCGGCGACTTGATCATCATAAAGGGCGTGACGGGCCTCGACGCGGGGCTCCTTAACAAGCAGCACGCGGTCGGGACGGTCAGCGGCACGGGCACGGGCGGGAACGACATGCTGACGTTTGAGCCGCCGCTCGATCTGACGGGGAAGGTTTTCGACGCGAGCGTCGCGGTGCTCGGGCGCGTGAACATCGGGCACGAGTGCCGGAGCGACGGCGCCGGCGGCGCGAGCGAGCACGGCGAAGGATACTGCACGTTCAGCGCGGACGTCCGGCATCGACTGCCGACCGGGGACAGCACGCTGCTCGAGCACACGCGGTACGCGCCTCAGCTTCCGGGACCGGACGGCGGCGGCGTCGTCGCGACGCGGAAAGAGTTTCAGTACAACGAGGATCGCGTCGAGCAGTACATGGACAACGTCCTCGCTTTCGAGCTCACGGTCGCCACGGGCGGCGGCGCGTACGACCAGACGAAAGGGAACCTCGGCGCGACGGCGGGCGAGGCGATGCAGAGCAACGATTTGGAGTACGTCAGCCGGCACGCGCTCGAGCTGAACGGCGGGACGATCAAGCGCGCGTGTCCGATGACGTTCCAGATTAAAGCGATCACGTGCGGGGTGAAGACCGTCGTCGAGGTGTACGGCAGGCATCGGTTGAAACCTGGGGATAAGATCGCGGTCGAGGGCGTCGTCGGGGATAACCCGACGACGAGCGGGAAGTACAACGCCGAACACATCGTGTACGCGATTCCAAAAGTCGACAACGTCGTGGACGCGTCGAAATTTCAGATGGACTTTGACACGTCCGACCCCTCCGGTCTGTGCGTGAACACCCCGACGGTGACCCCGGAAAAGAGCAGAGTGCGGAGGATCAAGACCGTCGCGGACTGGGGCGACGGCAGCGTGTGTAAGTTCGCGGACGCGTCGCTGAGCTTGCCGCGGCCGGGGGATAAGATGCGAGGCGTCGACGGGTACTTTCAGTCCCTCGCGTACAATAAGGACATCACCATCGGAAGAGCGTACGTCACGAACGTGTCCTCAGACGCGAGAGACGGGACGTACGGGTACCACAGAGACGAGATGCAGGCGCGCGACGGGAACTCGTTGGCCGCGGAAAATTTTCTCCCCCTCGGCGCGCCGGATGTTCTCGACTTGAAAGTGTCCTTCTCCGAGCCCGTCTTCGCGTCGTGCGGCGTGAACGACGACCGGTGGAGCACCCCGGAGCAGTACGTCGGGCTCCGGTACCGCGTGTGCGAGAGCATCCAGCTCGCGCTCTTCACGAAGGACGGCGCGGAGGCGGGGGATCAAAACTTGGACGCGACGACGGGAATCCCGGGTTCGGAAATATTTCCGACGGCGTTTCTTCACGACACCGGACGCGACCCCCCGAACGTCCTGAACTTCCGGTACGTCCCTCGGCGCGGGGACAACGTCACGCGTCTGCAGTACAAGTCCGAGCTCGCGCTGGAGGTGACCTGCGCGGCGAAAGATTCCTCGGACGCGTGCGTCTCGATGTCGCACATACGACGGCGGGCGGACAACGCGTTGGCGGGGCTCAAGCTGCCGCCGACGGCGCGCGACGTCGGCAAGTGCGTCCAGCCGCCGAACGCGGCGGGGGAGGTGATGTGCGCGAGCGCGACCGCGGACCACGCGTACTCGCTCGCGGGGAGGAAGAACATACGCGTGCGCGCGGCGTTTTAGATTTCATATTAATAATAAATACCATCGGTGTTTTCGTTACCCTTCGTCTGTCGTCGCGCGCGGGTGGCGTTTCGAGGGAGTGAGGAAGCTTTCGCGTTCCTCCGTTCTTCCGCGTTCTGGTTGGTCCGCGTGACGTGTTTCTAGAATTCCACCTGACATCAGTTCGGGGCGCGCGGCGCACGGGCACGACCCGACCCGTCCCTCGCGACGTCTCCGGGCGACAGGACGCGATGACGCTCACGAAGTACGTCGTCGGCTCCTTCGCCGTCGCCGGCGGGCTCGTGTACCACGCGGTGAAGACGCGCGAGCAGTACTTCCCCGCGATGCTGTACCTGAGCACGTCCAAGCTCTCCGTCGTCGTGCTCGGGAATCTCGCGTTCGCGCTGACCCTCGTCCTGGGGCATCTCCTCAAGACGATGTTCCTGGGGACGCTTCGCGAGGCCGAGGTGGAGCGACTGTACGACCGCGTCAAAGACGCCATCATGGAGACGTGCCTCGCGATGACCATCTTCCGAGAGGAGTTCAACGTCCGGTTCGTCGTCCTGTTCACGTCGCTGCTCTTCGTCAAGATCTTTCACTGGCTCTGCGCCGATCGCGTCGCGTACATCGAGACGACGCCGTCCACGACGCGCCTCTCGCATCTCAGGGTCTGCGTCCTCATGGTCGCGCTCGTGTCCATCGACACCGCGTTCTTGAACCACGCGATCGCGCACACGCTGAAGAACGGCCCGAGCGTGCTCCTCCTCTTCGGATTCGAGTACGTAATCTTGGCGTCTCGAGTCGCGACGACGGCGGCCAAGTACGTCGTCAACGTCGTCGACGGCTGGCTCGACGGCGCGTGGGAGAGCAAGGGCACCGTGGTGTTTTACCTCGAGCTCCTCACGGATTTGCTGCACTTGTTCGTGTACCTCGTGTTCTTTCTGATCATCTTCGCGTATTACGGTCTCCCCGTTCACCTCGTGCGGGACCTCTACGTGACGATCAGAAATTTCCGCAGAAGAGTGGAGGAGTTCATTCGCTACCGGCGCGTCACCGCGAACTTGAACGAGCGGTTCCCCGACGGATCCGCGGAGGATCTCGCGGCGAACGACGACGCGTGCATCATCTGCAGAGAGGACATGGTGTTCGGCGTCCCCGGCGCGATGCGGCCGAAGAAGCTTCCGTGCGGGCATCTGTTTCACCTGGGGTGTCTCAAGTCTTGGTTGGAGCGGCAGCAGGCGTGCCCGACGTGCCGCGCGCCGGTGTTACCGGAGGATCGGAACGCGCCGCCGAGGCCGGCGGACCCCGCGGATGCGGCGGTGCAGGCGGCGCTGAACGAGGCGCTGTTCGGGGGGGCGCCCGCGGGGGGGCGAGGGCCGCCGCCGCCGCCGCCGCCGCCGCAGCCGCCTCAGCAGCGGGATGGTCCGCCGCCGCCGCCGCCGCCGCAGCCGCCTCAGCAGCGGGATGGTCAGCCGCCGCCGCCGCCGCCGCCGCCGCCGCATCATCATCATCATCACCAACAACATCAACTTCATCAGCGGGACCCGGCCGCGGCGGCTCGGGCGCAGGCCGCGGCGGAGGCGCGGGCGAGAGCGTTCGCACCGCCGCCGCCGCCGCAGCAACCGGCGGCGCGACAACCGCCGGCGCCGCCGCCGCCGGCGCCTCCGCCGCCGCAACAACAACGGCAGCCGCATCAGCAGCAACCGCAGCCGGCGACGCCGCCGGCGCCCACGGCGCACCACGGTGAATATCAACCACCGCACGCGTATCAGCAGTATCCCCCGCCCGGGTCCCCCTACGCGGCGTCTCCGTACTACGGTCAACACGGCGGCGGCTTCCCCGGCTTCCCGGCGGGACTTCCTCCTCCGGCGTACGCGTACGCGTCGCCCGCGGCGGGAGCCGCCGCCGCCGGTTCGATCCCCGCCGCCGCCGCCGCGGCGACGGCGACGGAGGGCGCGGCGTTATCCCCCGCGCAGTGCCACCAGATCGCGGCCGCGACCGCGGCGGCGATCGCGGCGGCGTCCGCGCGCGCGCAGGCGGCGATGTTTGGCGCGGCGCCGCTGGGGATGATAGCGCCGCCGCCCGGGTTAGCCGGCGCGGTCGCGGGGTTAGGGTTACCGCCGGGCGCGGGCGTCGGCACCGCGGGCGCGGGCGCGACCGGGGGTGCGATCACGTCCGCGGAGATGCACGCCGCGGTGGCGGCAGCGGTGGCGGCGGCGACGGGGAGCGCGACGCCGACGCCGACGCCAGCGGCGGCGGCGGCGGCGGGCGAGGGAGGGGGCGAGACCCCGGGGACGAGCCAGAGCCCGCTCGAGGCCGCGCGCGAGGCGGCGGTGAGAGCGCAGGTCGCGATGCTCGAAGCGCAGGTCGCGGCGTTGCAGTCGCAGCTCGCGTCGCCTCCCGCGGCGGCGGCGGCGGCGGCGGCGGCGTCCGCGGCGTCCGCGGCGGACGGCGGCGGCGGCGGCGGCGGCGGAGAGATCCAGCCCGCGGCGGAGGAGGACGACGGCGGCGAGATTCGACCCGCGACGGAGCGCGAGGGCGAGGGTGAGGGCGAGACGAGCGAGGCGGCGGCGATTCGACGGCGGCGGTTGGAACGCTTCGGGTCGAGCTGAGGGGGCGATCGAGCGTAGCGGAATACAGTTCTTTGAACAACGCGTCCGAAAGAAAGAAAGAAATCCGCGTCCTCCTTTCTGTTGAGTCGCCGCATCGACCTCGTCTCGTCTCGCTCTCGCGGATTCGTGGGCGCGTCTTTGTTTTCGCGCTCGAAGACGCGCACAAGCTCGCGCGCGCTCCACGGCCGCGTTGTCATCCTCCGGGACACCACCGCGCGACCACTCATCGCGCGTCTCCGCGTCGGCGCGACCGCGTCGTCGACCCCGCGTCCGCGACCGAAGGACGCCTCTCGCTCCGAATTCATTCGTCAGACCGCCGCCTCCTCCGTCCCGCGTGATAGAAGATGGCGCGAGGACTCAGCCGCGAGCAGAGCAAAGAGAAGAACCAGAAGAAGTCGCAGGGACAGAACAAAGGAAACACCGAGGGGCTGACCCCGCAGCAGCGCGCGGAGCGGTGCGCGCCTCTCGCGCGCGTCCTCTACGCTCGACGTCGCGTCCCCTCCCGCCGCCGGCGAGATCTATCTCTCGGATGGATCGCTCACTCTGTTTTCTCCCGATCGATTTCTGTCCGACCGCAGAGACGCCGCCGCGATGGCCGCGAAGAAGGCGGCGAAGGACGCGCAGAGAGCCGCGCTGGCGGCGTCCAGCGAAGAAGGCGCCGCCGCGGTCGCCGCGGAGGAAGCGCGCAAGGCGAAGCAGCGCCAAGCGGCGAAGGATCGGTCGCTGTCCAACAGCAACCCGCTGCTCGCGAAAGCCGCGAAGAAGGCAGGGAGGTGAGATGTAATTAATCGTGTACGGCGGCGGCGGCGACGACGGCGGCGGCGGCGGCTCGAGCGACGCGAGTGACGACGGCGCGACCGCTTAGGGTCGCGTCGCGTGCCGCGCGTTCTTGTCAATGGCATCCCTCTCGAGTGCGAACATCGCCCGCGCCGCGTCGTCCCTCCTCCTTCGCGCCTACCCTACGCCGCCGAAAGTCTCGTCGTTTCTCCGCGAGATCCGCCGCCCTGCCGAAACCAACAAATTTCTGCGACAACAGTCAGGACAGAACGTCAGCGACAGAATCGACGCGACACACGCGCGGCGCACGCGCGCGGCGCACGCGATGTCGTGGTTCGGGTGGCTCCCCGACGTGTCCTCCCTCATGGGAGGCACGACGTCGCAGCCCGCGAACGCCCCCCCGCCCGCGGTGCAGCTCACGGAGGAGCAGATGCGCGAGCGCGGGATCGCCTCCATGGATGCGGAGTTTCGACAAAAGTACGCCAAGGGGGCCAAATTCAACTTCAAAGTCGTCCTGCGAGGCGACATCGGGACGGGGAAGTCGACGCTCATGCGCCGCCTGCGCGGCGGGACGTTCATCCCGGAGTACACGCCCACGCCGGAGATCAAGACGTCGCACATCAAGTGGACCGCGCGGTCGTCGCCGGAGGACAACGTCATGCTCGAGGTCTGGGACGTCGTCGACAAGGCTGCGAAGCGCGCCGTCTCGGATGCTCTGAAGACGATGGCCCACGACGGCGCGAGAGCGAGCGAGAGTCACGTGATGATGGGCGCGAAAGAGGGCGGGCACACGTACCCGTTGGATGCGAGCGTGATCGACGTGTACAAGGGCGCGCACGCGGCGGTGTTCTTGGTGGATCCGTCCAAGCGGTGGACGTACGAGTACGCCAAGCGAGAGCTCGCCGCCGCGCCGGAACACGTCCCCACGGCGATTCTGTTGAACTTCCGCGACTACCCGGCGTCGAAGCGGCTGCTGCGAGCGGACGAGGTCGAGGCGGACTGCGGGTACGCGTTCAAGGGGAGGCCGTTCCGGCCGTTCGTGATGGAGACGAGCCTGTTAAACTGCTACGGCCTTCAGGCGCTGTCGACGTTTCTGCACATTCCGTTTCTGTGCTTGAAACGCGCGGCGTTGGAGCAAGCCGTCGCGCTGAACACGAAGGCGATCGTGCAAGCGCAGGAAGCGCTGAAGCACGTCAAGGGGAACGCGTACGAGGCGTACGAGCGGAAGATCGAGGCGACGCAGGGACGCGCGTCCGCGTCCGCGGCGGCGGATGCGCTCGAGGAAAAGAATAAGGAGACGAAGAAGAAGAAGGAGACCGGCCCGCCGCCCGAGCCCACGGTGACGTGGGAGAAGCTCTCGAAGACGACGCTCGGGGAGGCGCCCATCTTACTCGGCGGCGCCGCGCTCGGTGCGGTCTACACCGGGGTCTCCACGCTCGCGGCGACGACGCCGGCGGAGATCATCGAGGCGGCGAAGGAGTCGGTTTCGATCGAAAAGCTCGGCAGCGGCCTCGCGTCGCTCGTGACGCGAGAGAAGAAAGGGAATTTCGACGCGGCGGAGCGCGAGCGCACGGCGCCGCAGTTCAATCACCTCACCGGTCGCGGCGGCGCCGCGGCCGCGGCGTTCGGCGGGCAAGATCTGGACGAGGACGACGTCGGCGTGCGCCCGGGGGACATGCCGGGCGGGGAGAAGAGCATGGATAAGTTTTTCGACGAGGAGGACACCCCGCGCGCGGGCGACGGGAGCGACGCGGGCGACGACGGCGACGGGTGGGGCGGAGGCAGCGACGACGACCTCCCCGGGGGCGGCGGCGGCGACGCGCGGCCGTTCTGGGACGACGACGACGACGACGACGACGACGACGGCGGCGGCCGCGAGAAGAAGAAAAAAGTCGAGGTGCGGTGGGACGAGAGCAGCGACGGGAGCGGGGGGTCGAGCGACAGCGACAGCGACATCGAGTTCGACGTCGCGGACGACGACGACGACAGGGACGACGGCGGCGGCGACGCCGGCGCCGGCGGCGAGAAGGAGGACCCGTTCTTCGGCGTCGGGGCGATTGAAAAACAAAACCCGACGGCGAAGACGGCGACGCCGAGACGCGCCGCGCCGGGGTCGGCGCCGCCGCCGGGTCCCGGGTTCGATCTGAACGACCCGGCGGCGATCGCCGCGGCGTTCGGGTCCCCCGCCGCGGACGACGACGACGACGAGCCGCCCGTCGGGGGAGGGACGCCGGCGACGACGAACCCGTTGTACGACACCACGCCGACGGGGTCGCCGACGGCGGCGAAGGCGAGGTCTCCGGCGCCGCCGCCGGCGCCGTCGAGCGCGGGCGCGAAAGAGACGGTCGCGGTCGCTGTCGCCGCCGCGGACGCGGACGCGGACGAGGGGTCCGGCGACGGCGAGAGCGACGGCGAAGCGAAGCGACGCGCGGCGAAGAACGCGAAGAAGAAGGCTGCGAAGAAGGCGTCGAAGAAGAAGAAAAAGGACGAAGGCGACGGCGGCGGCGACGGCGGCGGCGGCGGCGGCGGGAGCGGTTCCGACTCCAAGAGCAAGAAGAGCGCGTCGAGGCGAGCGAAGGACTGGGACGAGGACGACTAGAGCGCGCGTCGGGGCGCGGTCGAGCGCGGACCGTCCCGCGCCTTTGGTAGGTATTCTTAACAGCTTAACGTGAACGCGTCTCGGACCCGTGGATAACGAACTCAAAGGAATCTCTGCACCCTCCAGCTCCGAAACCCTCGCGACGACAGAAATCGACGCGCGTCCGCCCGTGGATGTCCGCGATACTCGCACCGTCGCCGCGCCTCTCTCCGCGCGCCGTCGTCGTCACCCGCCCCCGCCGCGTCGTCCGCGTTTCCGCCTCCGCGGAGCCGTGCAAGCGCGTCAAGGTTTGCGTGAACAAGGAGTGCAAGCGCGCGGGATCGAACCGCACCGTCGCGCTCTTCGAAGCCGCGGCCGCCGCGGACGCCTCGCTCGAGGTCACCACGCAGGTGTGCCTGGACGAGTGCGGCTTGGGGCCTAACGTTCAGATCAACGGCGACGACGGGCCGATCGTGAACGGCGTCAAGTCGCAAGCGGACGTCGACGCGGTACTCGCGAAGCTCGCCGGCGGCGAAGACGGCGCGATGGCGTCCTCCTCCGAGACTATCCGCGTCGGATTCATCGGCGCCGGGATCATGGGCGTGCCGATGGCGAAGAACCTCCTCAAGGCTGGCCACGGCGTGACGATCTGGAACCGCACCGCGAGCGCGTGCGACCCGGTCGTCGCGGAGGGCGCGACGCTCGCGGCGTCCGCCGCGGAGGCGTGCGAGAAATCCGACGTGATTTTCGTCATGGTGAGCGACCCCGCCGCCGCGCTCGCGTGCGCGGAAGCCGCCGCGCCGGGCCTCTCCGCGGGCAAGGGCTACGTCGACGTCTCCACCGTGGACGCGGCGACGTCCACGGAGATCGCCGCCCTCGTCCGCGGCACCGGCGCGATGTTCCTCGAAGCCCCCGTGAGCGGCTCGAAGGCGCCCGCGGAGCAGGGCGCCCTCATCTTCCTCGCCGCGGGCGACCGCCAGCTGTACGACCGCGTCGCGCCGCACCTGGAGGTCATGGGGAAGGCGCACTTCTTCCTCGGCGACGTCGGCGCCGGGGCGAACATGAAGCTCGTCGTGAACAGCGTCATGGGGAGCATGATGGCGTCCTTCGCGGAGGGGTTGACGCTCACGGAAAAAGCCGGGCTCGATCGAGAGACGCTCCTCGAGGTCATCTCGCTCGGCGCCATCAACACGCCGATGTACGCGCTCAAGGGGCCGAACATGATCAAGGGCGCGTTCCCGCCCGCGTTCCCGCTGAAGCACCAGCAGAAGGACATGCGCCTCGCGTTGGAGCTCGGGGAGAAGTTGGACGTCACGATGCCCGTCGCGAACGCGGCGAACGAGATGTATAAGGTCGCGCAAGGGAAAGGGAAGGACGACGACGACTTCAGCGCCGTCATCGTCGCCCTCGAAAAGTGACCACCGACAGCGTGACAGGGGGCGAAAGCGCCCGCGCAGACGCGTTCTCGTTGTATTAAACCGCACGCGTGAGCGTGTGGAGATTCTCACAAAAATATCCAGAAAATATCTGCCCGTTCGCGCAGACTCTATCCGCGAAACGTTCGCGTCGTACCCTCCCAATCAACACGCGCGCGTCACGAGCGACAGCGTGTACACGTGCAAGAGCACGAGGTACGCGATGAAAATCTCCCTCTTGTGACGCTTCAGCGCGGGCAACGCCCCCGGTCCGTCCGTCGTCGACGTCGCGAGAAGCCCGCCCGGTCGCGCGCCTTTCGCGACGCCCTTCCCCGCCGCGGTGGCGACGCCGCCGGTCGCGCCGCCGCCGCCGCTCTGCGTCATCGCGACCTGCCACTGAAGGCTCTTGTTATCTCTCTCGAGCGCCTCCACGGTCGCGCGGAGGCGCTGCGCGGTCGCCTCCGACGCGGCGAGCTCCCTCGCGCCGCCGCCGGAGCTCGAACTCGTCGCCGGCTGGACCTCGCCGGCGGCGGCGGCGGCGGCGGCGGCGCGTCGGCGCGCGTCCTCCGCCTCCCGCCGCGCCTCGTTCGTCTCCTGCCTCGCGTCCTTCAGCGCGTTCTCGAGCTGCGCGACGCGAGCGCGAGCGGACCGATCGTCCCCGCCCCCCGCGCGCGCATTCGCGTCGTTCACCTCAGCGCGCAGGCCGACCGCCTCCGCCTCCGCGGCGGCGAGGCGTTCTCTCAGCGCCGCCGCCGTCTTCGCTTCCCCGCCCGCGGTCTCCGCGGCGGCCGCCTCCGCGGCGGCTGATCGCGCGATCGCCGCGGTCGCCTCCCTCTTGCTCGCCGCGAGCGCGTCCCTCAGGTCCGCGACCTCGTCCTCCATCGCGCGAAGCTTCGCGCGCGCGCCGTCGTTGCCGGCGCTGAGGGTCGTTCCATACAGGCGAACGTCGGGGTGGAGTTGAAAGGCGTCAGGTGGAGTTGAAAGGCGTCGAGGGCGGGGATTGAAAGCGGGGGGTGGGCGGAGCGAAACGACGGGAGATAAAGTCCTTAAGGATCGGCGTTCACCACGCCGACGCGGTCGTATGGGAACCAGTGTAACCAGAACGCGCCTCAGCGCGCGCGACTGCTCGTCGATTTTTTCATTCAGCGCCGCCTCCTTCGCGACGAACGACGCCTGCAGACGCGCGAACCGGCGGTTCCGCTCGTCCGACTCCTGAAGCAGCCGCTCGCTCTCCGCGTCCGCGGCGGCCGCGCGCTCCTCCGCGGCGGCCGTCCGCGCGTCCGCGTCCGCGACCGACGCCTCCGCGGCGACGCGCGCCGCCGCCGCGCGTTCTTTTTCGCTGACGGTCGTTCATTTCATGCAAAAAATGTTCATTCATCAGTCAGCAGTTGAAAGGAACCCACGCGATCGAGTGTTGAAACCGAACCGAGCGATGGGTGAAGAGCGAATGCAAAAAGAAATGAGCGCACCTCTCCGCCGCGCGCCGCGACGCCTCCGCCGCGACGCGTTCCGTCTCGCTCAACCCGCCGAGCCGTCGCAGCTCCTCCTCCGCGGCGCTCGCAGCGTCCCTCGCGATCGCGATCTCTTCTCTGAGCTGCTCCGCCTCCGCCTCCGCCTCCTCCGCGCGTCGCTCCGCGTCGGCGGCGGTCGCGCCGCCGACGGACGCCTCGACTTCGCGTCGTCGCGAGCGTTCCAGTCGCATTCGCGCGTCGGCGAGCTCGGCGTCGAGCCGCTCCGCGCGCGCGACAGCCTCGTCCGCCTCCCTCGCGGCCGCGCGCGCGGACTCCTCGAGCGCGACGGTCGCTCGCTTCTCCGCCGCGAGCTCGTCGCGGAGCGCCGCGAGCGCGGACTCGGCGGCGGCGGCGCGTTCGGCGGCGTCGGACGCGGCGTCATCCTTCGCCGCCGCCGCCGTCGCTGCGGCTTCGCGCATCGACGTCGTCACCGCGAGTTTCGTCTCCGCGGCTTTCGCTCTCGCGGTCGCGTCGGACGTCGCCTTCTCCGCGGCGGCGACGCGCTCGCGCAGGGACGTCAGTTCCGCTTCCGCGTCGGACGTCGCCTTCTCCGCGGCGGCGGCGTTTGCGGCGTCGCCATCGGTTTTCTGGGACCCCTCGAGCTGCTTCTTGAGCTGTTCGCGCTCCGCCTGGATGGCCTTCCCCTTCTTCACCGCGCCTTGGAGCTTCACGCGGTAGCTCTCCGCTTTCTCCGTCGCTTCCTTCAGCTCGCCTGCGCGCGCGGAGGGTCGGGGTTGGGAAGTCGCGTCAGCGCGTGGACGCGGCGCGGGGAAGGCTGCGGTCGATCGCTCGCGTCGTGGTTCGTGGTTTTTTTTTCCCTCTCGCCCCGCGTTCTGTTCGATCGCGGACGACGGACGGGCGCGAACGCGACGGACCTTTCAGGCGCGTGACTTCGAGCTTCAGCGGGGACCCGCGCGGGCTCGGCACGAGAACCGCGGGCTCGGCATCGTTGCTGTCGCTCATTATTCCGAGCGTGCGCGCGCGCGTCGACGAACTGAATGGAGGGGGGACGCGAGTTTCGCGACAGCTCGCAGCTTCCGGTATCCGGCTCTCGAACGAAACTCGCGACGCCACTTTTCGCGCGCGCGGCGGTGAGCGATGGCGGGCTCCGTCGCCGCGGCCGCGCGGTCGCTGACGCGCGCGTCCGTCCCGCGTCCATCCCGCCGCCTCACGACGTCCTCCGCGTCCGCGGAATCGTCCTCCGACGCCGGCAGAGCGTTCGGGACGACGAAACGGCAGAAGATCGCGCTCGTCACCGGCAGCACCGACGGGATCGGGCTCCACACCGCCTCCCTCCTCGCCGCGAGCGGCCACGGCGTCATCGTCCACGGCCGCTCGAGCGAGCGCGTGGACGCCGCGTGCGAGCGCGTGAACGCGGTCGCCGGCGACAGCGGCGGCGGCGTCGTCGGGAGCTACGTCCGAGACTTCGACTCGCTTCAGGACGCGCGCGATCTCGCCGCGGAGGTGCTGGAGCGACACGCGTCGTTGGACCTCCTCGACAACAACGCCGGCGTGTTCGAGCCGAAGAGGCACGTCACGGCGGACGGCCACGAGCGGACGTTTCAGGTGAACGTCCTGACGCCGTATCTGCTCACCGGGCTGCTCTTACCGCGCTTGGTCGAGACGGCGGCGGCGAGCGGAGCGAGCGGCGGCGGCGGCGGCGGCGGCGCGGCGGACGTTCGAATCCTGAACGTCGCGTCGATATCGCAGACGTCGAAGATAGACTTCGATAACCTCGAGTGCGAGAAGAGCTTCTCGAATCACGCGAGCTACTGCCACTCGAAGACGATGATGAAGCTGTTCTCGTTCGAGATGTACGAGCGCGTGGCCGCGGCGGCGGCGAAGGGGGGGGAACCTTCGCCGCTGCGCGACGTCGCCGTCCTCGCGTGCGACCCCGGGACGGTGAACACGAAGATGCTCCTCGCCGGGTGGGGTCCGTGCGGGATCGAGACGTTCGAGGCGAACGACCAGTTCGAGCTCTTGACTAGGGAGAGGTTCGGCAACGCGAGCGTCCCGGAGAGCGAACGCGGCGGGTATTACGTGAACCGAACGCTGAGGGAAACACCGGGCGGGGTCGAGCTCGAGGACCGGAAGCGGCTGTGGGAGATTTTGGAGCGCGAGACCGGGGTGACGTACCCGCTGTTGTGAGGGTGCGATGGAGTAAGACTAGGGCGTAGCGTAGCGCGCGGATGTCAAGAATACCTTAGTGTCGTGCCGTGTGCTTCCTCTCGTCTCAATCAAAACTGTCTGTGCTACGCTCGTATTCACGCTGACTCACCGCGGGGTTCTCACACGTTCACACATAACTCGCAAAGGCCGTTGTACGGGAACCAGTCTGGGCTGCACTTCTCACACCGGCGCCCTACGCCTCGCTTTCGCCAGCTCGTCCAACTCGCGGGTCCATCCATGCGATTGGCAATCAACACATCTCGTTACCGAACAGCCTTTCTGCTCGTCCGATCCGAAGCACACGAAGGAGTCGTTGCACTTTTCGCACCAGTCCCCTTGGCACGCCTCGCAGAAAAAAATCTCACCGAATGCGCAGTCTTCGCAGTACGTCCGGTAACATGCTTTACCATTCTTCCACTTGTACGATCCGCTGCAGCACATACCAAAATTGCAATCGTAACAAAATGTTTTATCGCATTGATTGCAGATGAAAGAGCACTCCATGCAAATCCACCCTTCACAATTGGCACACTCTTCCATGTAGTTTTCGTTGCAGTCGAACGCGTTGCACTTTTCGCAGAACATATGGTATGTGTCTGCGTCGGCGCAGCCTACACACAAGACGTGCGTGTCTTTTCCATCACAAGCGATGCACACGCTGTGTTTTCTTTCGTTATCGAGAATAGTGTCGCAATTATTTCCGCAACACCACACGTCGAACGGGCCATTATCGAACGCCCTGACCTTTCTGCGGTCGTGCTTCACGTAAAAATCCAGGGGTGTCAACTCCCAGGACGCCACGGTCGTCCCCTTGAGTCGCATGCGGTCGAGCGCGACCCCGTCGTGGAGCTTTTTACGGGGCCATTCGGAGCCCGGCGGCAGCCTGATGTGGATTCCCTCGATGCGATCCATGAATGCGGCGATCTTCTCGTACGTCGCGTTCGCGAGGTTGGGGACCGTGGTGAAGTCGAGCTCCTTAGGAAAAGACGTCTTTTCTTTCCCCGCTTCGCGCCACACCCGCGACACGCACATCAGCGCCGCGCGCGTCGGGACGTCATGGATCTTTGAGAGGATCACGCACGCGAGGTCCGTGGAGACGTCCAAGCGCGCCATGTCGTCGGAGCTCGCCATGCCGGCGCGCTCGTTTGTGGTGGTGGTCGTCGTTCAAACTTCTCGGGTATCGGGGGCTCTCTTTTCGCAGTCAAATCCCAGTCAAATCCTGTCGATCAGATGTACTTTCAGTTCTGTTCGTCCTGTCCGAGACAGTGGTCAGGTCCAGTCCAGTGCGCACCGCCCGCCACCATGGGCGCGGCGGCCGAGCTCGAGATGGAGCTCGACGCGAAAGCGCTGCGGGAGATCGAGAAGAAGAAGCGGCTGATGGAGTTAGACCGCGATAAGAAGCGCGCGCGCGCCTCGCACGGCGCGAGCGCGTCGTCGTCGTCGTCGTCCGTCGCGCCCGGTCAGCATCTCGTGAAGAAGTGGGTCGTCCTCGACCTCGGCCATCGTCCCGACAAGTCCGCGCACGACCCGTGGCGCGAGGGCGAGGACTTCGGCGTGCACTTCCACGGGCTCGGCGACGGCGGCGAGCGCTCGCGGCGCGTGACCCTGCGCGAGCTCCGAGCCGCGTGCCCGAACGCGGAGTGGGCGCGCTTCGATTCGCGCGACTGGCACTGCGTCACCGGGTGGAGCGCGCGCGGCTTGTCGTTCCGAGGCGTCCCGCTCTCGACGATCACCGCGCTGCTCTCCCCGCGCGCGGACTGGCGGTGCCTGTTCCAGCGATCCGCGGACGGGTACGCCGTCGGCGTGCACGTCGACGAGTGCGCGAACGCGTTCCTCGCGGTGACGGACGGCGACGGCGAGGTTCTTTCGGAGGAACACGGCGGGCCTCGGCTCGTCTTCCCGGACTGTTACGGCTGGAAGAGCGCGAAGTTTCTGTCTTCGATCGAGTTCACCGCGGACGCGAGCGACGCCGCGCGCGGGTTCTGGGAGAAGCTCGGGTGCCACCCGCGCGGACGGTGGGCGCGCGAGGAGCGGTGGGCGCCGGGCGCTTCGAACGGCGTGTGGACGGTTCTCGCGTGGATCACGGGTTTGTATCGGAAGCTCTTCGGCGAACGCGTGTGGGAGCTCGTGATGGTGCACGGCGGCCGCGCGCTCGGCGCCGGCGCGGCGGTCGCGGAGAGGGTGGCGGGGGTGTTTCGAGGGAGCCGCGCGCGGGCGAGACCGCGCGCGGAGTAGGCGTAGCGTCATGAGGTGTTCACGGCGTCGGCGGCGGAAATACTGTGACTCGAAGACGTCAGTGATCTGACACTCGCAGTCTGGTCGTCTATCGTCCCGCTCCCCAGACGGTCGTTCAAAACGGAGTCGTCATCCCGTCGCGTCGTCTCCCGCGCGCGTCGACGCGCGGCGGGCACACCCACGCGCGCGGACCTCGCGGTCGATCGCGCCGTTCGCCTCGAACGTCCCTCGCGGTCTTCTCGCGCGCGTCTCCGACGTCGCCGCGTCCGCTTCCGCCGCGGATCTCGCGCGTTCGCGTCCACTAGGGTTGCGCGTCGCGTCCTCGGTCTTCTCCGAGAAAACAGCCCAGATCGCGCGTCGTCGTCGTCGCGTCGGGTGAGCAGCGACCATGTCCGGCATCGGGACGGGGTACGACCTCTCCACGACGACGTACTCCCCCGACGGGAAGGTCTTCCAGGTGGACTACGCGGGCAAGGCGGTGGACAACGGCGGGCTCGCGCTCGGGATCAAGTGCAAGGACGGCGTCGTGTTGGGCGTCGAGAAGCTCCTCGCGTTCAAGATGCTCGTCCCCGGGTCGAACCGACGGATCGCCGCGGTCGACCGCCACGCCGGGATGGCGGGTACCGGGCTCGCCCCGGACGCGCGGGCGATCGTCACCCGCGCGCGCCAGGAGTGCGCGCAGTACCTCTCCTTCTACGGCGACAGGATCCCCGCTAAGATCCTCGCCGATCGCATGGCGCACTACCTCCACATGTTCACGCTGTACTGGTCCGTGCGGCCCTTCGGCGCCAGCACGCTCCTCGCGGTGAAAGACCACGAGCTCGGCTACGCGCTGTATCTGCTCGAGCCGAGCGGCGAGGTGCAGCGGTACTTCGGCACCGCGGTCGGTAAGGGGAGGCAGGCGGCGAAGAACGAGATCGAGAAGCTCGTGAAGGCGGACGCGGCCGGGTCGCTGAGTTGTCGCGACGCGGTGAAGCATCTCGCGCGCATCGTGTACTCGACGCACGACGAGAAGGACAAGGCGTTCGAGTGCGAGCTGTCGTGGATCTGCGACCAGAGCGGCGGGGAGTTCAGGAGGGTGCCGAAGGAGCTCGCGGAGGAGGCGATAACGCTCGCGAAGGCGGCGTTAGAGGACGACGACATGGCGGACGCATGACGAGCGCGTCGACGTCACGACGTTTTATTCATCCGAGATCGCGCCTACGAATGAGCGATCGTTCGTCGCCTTCCTTCATCTATCTCGTCCGCGTCCGAACCACGACGACGGCGCGACGACCGAGGGCCGCGCCCACTCGAACCAACCGGCCGACGACGGCGCGACCGCGGCCGCGACGACGTCCTCCTCCTCCCCCCGCGACCCCGCCGCCGACCCCGCCGCCGCCGCCGACGCCGCCGACGCCGAAACCCCCGTCGCCATCGCGCACAGCGTCTCCGGCAACCCGACGCGGCACATCGGACACGCGTTCCTCCCAAGCAGCCACTTATCGATGCACGGCGCGTGGAACCGATGCCCGCACGACGGCAGCGCCTTGACTTTCTCCCCAACGCGGAACTCGTCCAAGCACACGCGACACGACGACGCCTCGACGTCCGAGATCGCGTCTTTCCATGCGTAATCTGCGGCGAGCGTCGACGTCGGGACCGCGTCGATCGCGGCCGCGGGCGCGCCCGCGACGCCCTCCACCCCGGGCCCAAACGTCTCCAAGAGCTCCTCGTACGTCATCGCGTCCACGTCCGCGGCGACGAGCGACGTCATCGCGCCGTGCGTCTCGAGCGCCTCCAGGAACCTCCGCAGGCGTCGCCGCTCGCGCGGGGTTCTGAGGGTCGTTCCATACGAGCGAACGTCGGGGTGGAGTTCAAAGGCGTCAGGTGGAGTTCAAAGACATCGAGGGCGGGTATTGAAAGCGAGGGGCGATGGGCGGAGAGATGCGCCGGGAAAAGTCCTTAAGGATCGGCGTTCACCACGCCAACGCGGTCGTATGGGGACCAGTGTATAGAACGCGCCTGAAGAAGTGCGAGATGATCTCGCGCACCGCGCGCTCCACGTCGCCGTTCGCGAGCGAGCGCTCGATGCCGTTCGCGCGGACGCTCTCGAGCGCGCGCGCGAGGACGTCCGCGGTGCGATCCCTCGGGTACCTCGACGAAAACGAACCCGCGCGAGACGCGGACACGCGAAGCGCGCGATACGCGATGCGAAGCTCGAGCGGCGTCGCGCGACCGACGAACGTCGCCCAGTCGAACGCGGTCGCCGCGCCGGTGACGGCGCCGACGCCGACGCTCGCGAGCACGCTTCGCCGCGTCGCGCGCGCGGCGATCGCGGCGGCGACCGCGCCCGCGGCGGCGCCGGCGACGACGACGAGGCCGCGGAAGGACGCGCTCGCGACCGCGCACATCGCGTCCCCGGCGAACGCGTTCCACGTCCGCGTCGTCGTCGTTTCGCCGTCGTCGCTCGCGCTCGCGCTCGCGCTCGCGCTCGCGTCGCGCGACGCCGCGGGTTCATCGTCCGCGACGACCGCGGCGTCGCACGCCTCGCATCGCGTCTCCGTCTCGTCCTCCGTCGACGCCTGGACGCGCCCGCATCGCGCGCACGTCCGCGCCATCCCGCCCGCGCGCTCCGCGAAATAACATCGATTGACCGTCCCCGTCAGCCTGCTTCTCTGCTACGTAAGGGCCATTCCATACAAAAACGGTTCACCGGTCAGTTGAAAGGAGACGCGATCAAGTGTTGAAACCGAAGGATGGGTGAAAAAACGTTTGTATAGAACGCACCTCAGCTGCGCTTCGTGATGTGTCGCTCGTCGTCACACCCGAGGGCGCGCGCGCGGCGACGAGCGGCGCGCGGCGCGATGGACGACGGCATGGACGTCGACATGGAGGACGCGGCCGACGACGACGCGCGCGTCCGCGACGACGACGATGGCGGCGAGGACATGATGGAGGTCGACGCGGAGCTCGTCGCCATGACGCTTCACGAGCTCCGCTGCGCGCGCGCGGCGATCGACGGTCTGTCGTCCCCGGAGGACCGAGGCTCGTGCATGCCGTCGAACGGGGACATTCTCCCGCCGCCGCGCTCCGCGTTCGATCGCGATGACGACGACGCCGGCGCTGCCGGCGCGATCGTCGTGGTCGTGCCGGACACGAACGTGCTCGTGCGCCACGGCGGCGCGTCCGTTCGGATGCTCCGCGAGCGATTCCGATCGGTCGACGCGCTCGCCGCGCGCGTCGTCGTGCCGAGGAAGGTGATCGAGGAGCTCGACGGCCTGAAGACGTCGAGCGACGACGGCGGGCGGAGAGCGGAAGTCGCCGCGCTCGCGCGGAGCGTCAACCGCGCGATCGCGAGCGCGCTCGAGGAGAACGAGCGCGCGACCGCGACCGGC